ATATGTTGTTGTTGTTATGATTATGGCCGGACGGGACAATCCTAAATGTGCTCCGTTCATTCCCTGACTGGGAAATCTGAAAGAGGGACAGTTTCAAGTGGCCATAAAAAAATAAATCATAAATTAAAGGGAACTGTGCAAATAGCAGGAAAAAAAACGTCCCCTGTGGTGCAGCCAAGTGATTCATCATGAAATAAACAGTTATTCTAATCACATCCGCCATTACGMTGCATTAGCAGGGATCTCATTCATCTGGCCACTGTCAAACTAATTCAGCTCTACATTAGTTGCTTATGAAATCCATTTGCTTATCAACATTGTAGCGACAGAAAGCAGTTTTCATCGTTTTCTGCTTGGAGTGACTCTTTATTTAATTCAAAACAAATGAAAGGCAGCAGGGACAGAATCTGAAGCACAACCCTTTAAAATCAGTCGAAACCAAAAACAGCGGGCATAACGGGAACATTACTGAGTCTGTTCATTTAATTGTTTGTTAGTAAACACATAGAACAAGTTTATGATTTAATTGTACAACCTATTTATTGTGGAGTCAAATACCTGGAAAAATGTATTTGTCATTCAATGCTAGGTTATTATTTTCAAATTCTCCATCTCAAAACATCAAAATGAAATTTGGCGATTTATCACCTGATAGTTTTGTTTATCAAAGCGTCAGTTTGAAAACCCAACTTTTATTAGGCGGTAGTTACATTTGAAAAAGGGAATCCCCAACTCTTAGGATGAGGTCAAAAACCATACAAAGGGATTTCCCGGTGCTACAACAGCCAGCACAGCTTTAAAGGAATTTTCTTTTTCTGTGCTGTTCTGACAGAGAGGAGCTGAGGAACGAAACAAGTTAATTTTGAAAACATACCTGATAGAAAACTTAAATTTAAAGGTAGAATAGGAAGATTACAGTATATGCTATTTTAGTAACAAGGATCGYTAGATGGTGTCTTTAATTTTTTACATAAATATGAATGATGGAATAAACACTATTTCACACAGTGAAGCTGATGTCAAAAATCTGACTCATTCAGCAAAAAAACTAAACAGTTGAATCTTTCTTTCCTTCATTTTTATAAGTTCCTCTTTGGTTTGGTGMTTTCAGCGCATGCATACGTTCCAGGAGTGCACGGTGACGTCAGGACRTCCCACAGAGTGAAAAAATGGAGGCCGACAGCCACTGGATTTGCTTCATTTTTTATTTTATGTTTTATTGATTTTGGGACGTTTTAARTCAATTCTGAATCGATGTAAAGGAGAATCGTGATTCTGATGTGCATCGATTTTTTTTGACGCAACCCTACAAAGCATAGATAATATTAAATTATTACAAGTAAATTAATTCATCTTGAATGAAAGCCATAAAATCATTTGTCGTCTTTTCCTAAAAACGTTAGCTTTTGCACGAACCATCGTTACAATTTTTTAGACTGGGGTTGCTTTAAAGTGCACGTGACATCTATTTTTTTGTAATAAATATGAATGCATATTTGGAAAGATAACATTAATAAATAATAGAAAAAAAGCGTCACACCTTTGAGATGAACAGTTGTTRAGATATTTGCACATGAAGTAACAGGAAGTGATGTCAAAGGGGAAARTCAAGCAGTGGGATAAACAGCTAACAACACAAACTGTAGAAGAAGAAGAGAATCTTATGTTTCTTTAAATTGCTTTGAGAGAGATGAAGAAGCGTCAAAGTTCAAATATTATTACAATAAACAAAGACCAGGGAGTTTTCTTTCTTGAAGAGTTCCTCTTTGATGTCACGTCCTGTTTCATTTTGGCTGCCAGTTATTTGACAAAATGGGTAAAATCATGTGTATTATGCCAATTCTCTTAAATAAAAATGTTTTCCTTGATTTTTTTTTTTTTTTGTATTTAAGGGATATGCATGTCACATGCACTTTAAGATGGTGGCAATTCACTGAGCTTGGACCAGCTAACAGCTCTGATCCGTTCAAAAACAAACTTTTTTTTTTCTTACTGAGGCCATTCTCCTGAATATCGGAATACCAAGTCTGGGAAACGTAGAATTAAGAACGTGCAATATTTATAGAAATGGGTCTTGATGAATAATAAGTTACTTGGATTTCATATCATCTACAAACACCAGAAGTTTTGCGCTGTAGGTCTTGAAGAAGCGCCCGTCCTCTTGTTCTGTGTGGAGTCTGAACATGTGCTGACAGAGGGGAGCCRAGGAACGAAGGAGGAAGCAAAAGATGCTGAAGAAACAGAACGAGTTCAGAGAGAAAAACGTCTGAGACGAGCGACGCTAACAAGAGAGACAGTTGGCACAAGTCTGAGTGRGAGAACTGCCGAGCCACTGCGATCACGCTAACAACTGAACCCACTCGAGACAAACCCAAACTTTTGTTTTGAATTYAAACTCAATGTGTAAAATCTCAGTCTTCTAGGCCATGGTAATCTTTAAAAAACACTAATGAAGAGGTCCAGTTGGCTTTCACTGAAGCTCTAAAAATATATCCAGCCTAAAAGTTTGCCATTAAGAGCAGCACATGCTTTTGAAGTGGAGAGAGGAGAGCGTAAAGGCTGCAGCAGCAGGAGGCGAAGGAGGAGGAAGGCGASCTCTGAGAGCGGCGCTCAGCCCCCCACAGAGGGATGCCGTGCACCCCCCCTGCTGAGAGATGAGGGTTTTGGTCAGAAGAACGTAAAAACCCAGAACCTCTACCTCCCACCGAGCCAAAAAAAATAAAGGAATCGCGGAGGCCTTTAACGCCACACGCTTGACTCAGCCTACAGGCTGGACCAGCCACACACAACAGATGCTCTGAGCCAGACACAAAAACATACACACACATCACAGCTGACACACTTATAATACACAACAGATGGCACACACACACATGAGAAAACAAGCCGATCCTYACTAGTTCATAACCCGTACGTGCTCTCTGCCTCTGGGGCTTGTACTCGGGTGAAACACCTCCCTGACTGCAGGACGGTGGAGAAGTGGCCTGATTATAGCGGTTATTAGATTACAGGAGGTTCTAGGCGCCACACCAGCAGGAAGTCTTTCCATAAAGACTGAAGTAGGAGGACGGGGAGGAAATGGACTCCAAGAGGAGGTTGAGATAGATCCAGCACAGTGATGGTGTCAAGAATTACAGTTTATATCAGATCGGAACAAAAGAAGMAGGAACACTGGAACACAGCAATTACCGAAAGCTGTGAAACTGTAATGGGGGATGCGACAGGAACCCACAGAGGCTCTGAGAGCATCATGTGTTGATGTGGAGCAGAATWAAGAACGTCTAAGAGTTTGTGCTCGCTCGCCTCGGGGTTTGATGTGAAAATAAGAATGAGACGAGCAATGAGAGCTGCAGCAGAGGTGGGAACCAGAAACCTAAATGTAGTTCTTCACTATGCTTTTGGGTTTTCCACTTTAAGACGCATGTTTGAGATAAAGTCATTTCAGTCACAATGCAGCGAGTTAAAAGATGTGTAGGATTACACACACACAGAATTTTTTTATATTCAATTAGTATTTATTTACCACTTTATTACTTTTTACTAAACTCAGGAACACGGTTGTGTTTAAACCACAAACAGTAGAAAAAGTAAAATTTTAAAAATAGACATCTGATGAGTAACCTGAAGTTGCACCATTAACTAGCAAATGCTATGACTAGCTATTTGTTATACGTACTTTGTTAGCTAATAAATTTGTTACTAACAGATTGCCACACAATTTGTTTCTCATAATTTGGTAGCTAGGAACATTTTTTCTTTTTTGCAGACTGCTCCTTTCATGAAGGGTCGCCCCAACACGCAAACTCGCATCAAGATTTGACAATTGTTTTAGCATATTTCCTGATTCAACCACTAAAAACCAAATTAACACAGCCCACGTGTGCACATTTTGAGCACCTTGCTCAAAGTGTGGCAAATGAAGATGTAACAATACTTTGATGTAACAATGTAGGGATTTGAACCAGCAACCTACTGAGCACAGGCTCGTCTTGTCTTACCTCTGCACCTCCTGGTAGCTAACTAGCAAATGATCTAAGTAACTAAATATAACACACTTTTACCCATCAAATATTTTAGCCCCAAAAAGGTGATTCTTAACGGAGAATTAGGGCCAGACTATGAAAATTAAAATAATAATAATAATAATTACAATAAAGTTGTAATTTTGCAAGAATTAAGCTGAAATAATACCAGAATAATCACTCTAATGTCCTTCTTCTGATAATAATTATTTGCTGATATGTAAAAAGATTAAATATTTCCTTATTTGTACATCTGTATAAATTCACAAGATGCTCAACATTCCTCATTTTAATGCAAGGTAAGACTGCTTTTTGAGCAGGAGTTCTCATAATATTAGACTTTTTTCACATTATTTGAGACAAAAATCCTTGTACAATGTTAAAAAGTTTAATTATCTTTAACACAACAGGAAGTTCGTTTGGTGAAACTGATCTGATCCAGAACGATCAGATCAGTTSTACCAAAGAGCTACTAGATTTTAGTGTAATTTTTGTAGGCGTGACACTTTTTTGATCCTCCTTTCCACATTTTATTAAAATCAATATGCACAATATGGTTATTTCATGTGCTGTATTTTACAAGTATGAAAAAAAACTTTGTCAATCAATTAAGAAACATTGGAGAGCTATTTAAAGCTTTTA